ACCTAGATATCCAATGAATTCAATCCCGTTTATCCAAGTGTCAGGTTACCAAACTTTGAAAGCTATCTTAACAATTATCCATGAAAGCTTTGAGATACACAAAATTACCCTTTATTTTAAGTCATCTTGTTGCTAACAAATTGCAACAGAGACAACATGAGTTTATTTGACCTTTAGGAAACCTTGGTAGAAAAAAAAGTTTTATATTTAATTCTGATAACCCTAAACACATGTCTGTCTTAGTTAAACCAACAAACTTAAATAAGCTTAACCACAAACAACATTCCACCTGCGTTTGCTTAAAGGACAATTTGTTCCCCATTGTCACATTTTACCTGGGACACCAGTGGGGCAATCTGAAGTGGGCGATCCAAGGGGGTGCTCATTGCTCCTTGACATCAAGGGTGGGAGGGTGGCATAGAAGCCAGTTATGTACATCCCATGGAAGGTGATGCAGAAACAGGAAGAAGGGGAGAGGAAGAAAGAAGAGGTAAAGTGCCAGAACAGCAGAGAAAGACGATTCCTGGTTCTAAACCTTGTCAGCTCTAAAAGAAGAGACCCCATGTTTGTTTGTTTGTTTGTTTTCCACCAAAGTGGAAATAAAGGAATCTATGTCAGGCTAGAGAAGACAGGGGATTTCCCCGAAACAAAGGGACTTTAGGCAGCTGCCTAAAGGGAATATTTGCCTAAAGGGAATATTTTTTAAGTCCCTGCCCAAGGTAGACTAACCACAGTTGGCTCCAAATATAGTCATTAACTCAGGAAATGAGTGAGGGAGAGCCTCCCACATCTATTAGGAGGAGGAACAGAGAGAAAGAGTCAGCATGCCCTTTGTCAAGGATGGTCTGTGTTTCTTCTAGCACCTGATTTCCATCAGGAGGCCTGTTAGGACATCCACTATGCCAGGAGGGAGTTTACTAGCCACACACATTTGGGAAAATACATTCTATAAGAGGCCTTTTGGTTCAGGTCCTTAAAGCTGTGAAGGCCTAGACCTCAGGTACCTCCGTCCATTGACCCTGTTTTCTGCAGAAGAAATCTAACTGCTAGATTCTACTAAGGTCATGCAATGTTATGGGAC